GAGGACATTTAAGAGATACTAAACAGGATGTGCAAAGAATAATTCGATTTTAAGACCTTTTTGTAGTGAATTTTCGTTTATTAAGTCAAGACTCGTTTCAGCGTTCAACGGGTAATTTCGGGCGATCGACTTATACCGCTATTTTCTGAAAAACAAAAAACTATTTTCCTTAAAAAACTATATAGCGTTTATAGGTACATATTAAAGTTTGTTTGGACAAACATTCAGCGAAATCGATTTTTCACCCGTGGCCGCCAAATTTCGAATTTGCTTGATGGTTGCTGATATGCAATTTTGAATATGTGATCCACATTGGTACTATGAGGGGCTAAACATGAAATGGAAATAATAGAAAGTAATACTGCTCAATAGAATGAAGTTTTTCTGGGCAAAAGACCCTTGAATGAATTGGGAAAAATGTATTTCCAACCTTGCTGGGATTCGAACCCATTGACCATTCCATGATTGAATTATATATAAAGGTAGACTCTGCCAACCCTCAAACTTATGTATTGAAGATTAAGGGCCAGCATAAATTAGATTTAATCTTTTTGCAAACAATCCATACAATATGCTAAGGGTTCTTAAAATCCAAGCTTGTACATGTACCATGTACAAGGAATGAAGTGCTACAACCTCTCATTAACAGTGAACATTCTTGGAGAAATAACCAACAAATATGTGGCCAAGAGCTATTGGAAATATGAGCTGGAAAAAGAGCTTGATGATCTTGGCATCAGAGAGGCATGGGTTTTTTCTCMATCGAAAGGAGAGATGAAAGGATCGGAAGATGATGCCATGGAGTACATAGGAAAATTGAGGTCTGAAAGTCTCTACTTTCATGACTGCTCACAGAATTGTCAAAAAAAAGGTAGTTTCCCATCATTGATAATCTCAAGGAAAATTGAAATCAAAATCATAGTGATTTGTGTATTTAATTTCCATGGTTCTAGGTTGCGGAAAACTGTATGTTGCTGATGGCAATTGGAAATTAAATATCCCCACTGTATGTGGCATGTTCCCGTCTCTATAACAGGGTTTGCACAGCCAATTAATTACCCTTCCATATGTCCAGTATCCCCAATTAGAGGSAAAGCATTCTGTTCTAACCACTGTGCAACTGCAGAAAGGGGAGGTTTACCAACAGGACTCCAAGATTTTCTTAAACATTGTGGTGTTAGAGGTCAAGCACGTGAAGAAGGTCATTATATTATATGTACACTATTTTTTAAACATTGCTGTTCTAAGTTTGTTACCAATTAAAACTGCATGTACAAAGAATGTGTCTTGGAAGAACTATTTATTCACAGATTGAATGTTTTCAGCTTTTATTTTGCACTGGTTTTCAGACATTTGTCATATCTTTAATCCTGTTCCTATTAACCATGATAGTTACATGTATCTTGTTATGTCCACTGCAATACAGGTGCATCTGCAGAAGATGAATCACACCTCCAAAATACTATCAAGTCTATTTGTACCACATCAAATTCATCATCTCAGGATTTTTCAGTTAATGCTACCACGTATCAAGGTAAAAATAAGCCTGGGAATTCAATATGGCTTGTATATTAAGTATAGACGAATACTCACAGTTTCGCGCCCGTTGTTCAGCATTTTCTTCTCAGTATATAAAATTATAAAGCCGAACTAATGGGTCAAAAACAAAAAATCCAGGTGAAGACACAAAAAGTGCTCAGAATTGTGGTTACAAAACTATGACAATGAGCCTCTACGTAAAGAACATTATTCAACTTCTAGATTTCAAAAATAGTTAATCCTTCCCAAAAAAAAGGGAAAATTCACCTGTACGTGTGAGCTAATCCAATTAACACCTTACTGGGGCCGATGCTCTGCCAAAATTGGATGGAACGATTCGGGATAATATATGTTTTGATATTATTAAATCAACATGAACACTGAGATACTCTTTCATTTTCAAAACTTTTTCAAAATGACACAATTTTTGCCGGGGCAAATACCTTAAGGAAAATTTTAAATCAATTAATTTTAAATTTTATTTCYAGGTATAAGTGAATTTGTTGTAGTGAATGGAGACTTTTTGATGGATAATTGCTCTGGTGCTGCTCAAGCAGCTACCACAGTAGCTTCATGTAACAAAGATACTGGTGGGAGAAATACGCTCCAAAGCTGGTCAAGGGGGATTTTCTTTATTGTCAGTGGAGGTGGACACATTAGCTATTGGCAGCCTCTTTACAGGCAAGTATAAACAATTATTGATTGTGAATGTGTTAAAAAGTAATGTTTCAATGGAAATAATTATGGATTTATGGTATAGTTGGAGCACTACCATTTGCAGAATAATTACAAATTTGAAAAACCCTTTTTTATTTCCCATACAAACACTGTTTCTGTGAAGACCATCAGCAAATATTTGACTTTTTTAAAACTTTAATAATCCCTTGGAAGCGTTGTCCATAATGTATACAGGGTCGCTGATGTACACGTATACAGAACAACTCATTTACACCAAAGAAACTTCAATGGTTACAATCTAGTCTATGTATACAATCTTCTGTACATGCATGGTTATATGTGAATTCCATTATATTAATACCACTAAAATTCAGATTCACTCAGAAAGCCAATTTATGTACCTCCAAAAAATACAACAGTTTGTAATGACTATGCATGTCCAATGCAGCACTAGTGCTGTTTGGTTTTGGTTTTGTTGTTGTTCTGATATTGTCTCCTTAATCATTATTACTTTTGACTTATCAGGTCTGAATCTCCAACTCAAGCATTTTTGATAACCATCCTCTGGCTYTATCGGAAGTTCAAGMCTTTACTGGATAAAGGCACCCCTAAAGAGAAGGTTGTAGAGCAGATGACTGATAYTGTTTTGGCATATGACAATATGTRCWATGWTGATGGCCTCAAGATTGCCCAAAGTCTGCTGCCGTTTGACAAGCCCCTTGATGAAATGTGGCTCTGCATTWYCAAAGTCATTKACAGACTCCACCTACRCAATCACAAACAGATGAAATGCAAGACAACCTACAATCCAGAAGGAAAGATACCAGCTGAATTCAATACCATGGCAGCTGAGCAGACATTTGTTTGGGCAAGCAGATTGAAGAGGATCATTTGTGCCATGCCAAGGGT